GGGGTTTGTAGTGTGGTGGGATCGTTAGTCTGACTGGACTGGGACGGGAGGGTGGGCCTGTCTGAAGTGCCGTGGAATGTCAAACTTTCTGGATTGCTGCTGTGCCGTAGAAGCGAGCTGTTGGTTTTCGGGAAAAAAGATTAATGCTGTGGTCTTGTTGTTATCTTGTGTGTGTGTGTGTGTGTGTGTGTGCGTGTGTGTGCGTGTGTGTGTGTGTGCGTGTGTGTGTGTGTGTGTGTGTGTGTGTGTGTGTGACAACGAGATAATGGATGCACAAATTTTGTTCCAAATTCTCTAGTTCAGCGCGTAATGAGAGAAACTGTATGAAGCCTGCAACAAAATGTGGCAATGAACTGCTTGGCATTGCTTGGTGTATTTATTTGTATCAGGCTGTATCTGCTCGGCATTTGAACCAGATACTTGGCAAACTGTCATTTGTACCAGATGATGAAGAGAAGGAAGATCCTTCTGTTCAGTTCATCATCTGGTAGTTGGCAAGCTTGTAGGTTGTGAGAGTTCGTCTGCAGTGGACTTTGCATGCATCAGGTGGGCTGCGTCCTTTCAAAAAACAAAGAGCAGCAGGGAAAGGAAGTCTAAGACTGTAAAGCAAGATGGCATCGTGTCTGTCAAACATTAACATTTTAAATTATATGACTACCGTGTTCACTGGAATAGAACGCCCGGTCATTGTCGCTGTATCTAGAGTAAAGTTGTGCCAAATGCAGCTACAATGACTGGGTGTTTTAGTCAGGTGAAGACGGCAGGATATAAGAACAATATATTATGGAATTGGTCAGAATGTGAAGACGGGGGGTGTATGTAGACTGAAAGTTGTGCCAAATGCAGTTTAATTTGATGATCCACTGTTTTTGTCAGTGTGTAGCATTCAACCACCAGGCAGACACATGGAAACCAGTAGGGTCTAATCTTCTTCTGAGCCAAAATACTTTCGTGTTTATTACTCTCACCCCCCTGCCTCCCCATCCCCCCCTCCTCTCCCCCCCTCCCCCCCAGCCGCCCTTCCGTCCTCCCCACCAGCCCCCCAATGAACCACTGACTGGATAGAGTATAAATACTATTAAACTAATAAGAATAGAATCAATAGATACTAGGTTTGATATTAGCCAAAAGGCCAAGAAAGGCCAAGAAAGGTCAGACAAGGACATTCTGTGAACGGTTGTAGATCCCTGGTGTTCTGAAACGTCTTCTGTCATTGTGTGTGTGGCCTCTTCTTGTGCTTGTCTGGCTTTTCAGTGCTAGCAGAGCCGACCCATTCACCACAAAGCTGCTGCAGATACACTCGACAATTCTGGACGAAGGCGTTACGCAGGCAAGCGCACTGCTTCACGAGATTATGTTCCACTTTGCAACATTGTGCTATGCTGTACTCTGCTATGCTATTGCTATGCGTATTGTTTGAGCTGGCATGATTCACTGTGGTATTGCTATGTTATGCTATGCTCCAATGTGATATGCTGTGCTGTGCTGCTTTGTGCTGCTCTGTGCTGTGCTGTGCTGTGCTGTGCTGCTGTGCTGCTGTGCTGCTGTGCTGCTGTGCTGTGCTATGTCGTGCTATGTTGTGCTATGTCGTGCTATGTTGTGCTATGTCGTGCTATGTCGTGCTATGTCGTGCTATGTCATGCTATGTCGTGCTATGTCGTGCTATGCCTATCCTATACTGAGGCATGCTCCACTATGTCGTGGTATGTACTGTGCTCTGCTGTGGCTATGCGTATTGTTTGAGCTGGCATGCTTCACTGTGATATTGCTATGTCATGCTGTGCTAGGATATGCTCCAATGTGCTGTGCTGCACTGTGCTGTGCTGTACTGTGTTGTGTTGTACTGTGCTGTGCTGTGCTTCACTATGTCGTCCTATGCCCATCATGTATTGAGGCATGCTCCGGTATGTCGTGCTATGCTTATGTCTGTATAACGCAGCATAACACAGAATAATGCCCGGATAGGCATATCACGACATAGTATGCCTCAGTATAGGATAGGTCTAGCACGGCATAGGCATAGCAGCACATAAGCTATGTTATGCCAGGCGGGATACACTCGAGTGTGCTGCTTTGTGCTGCACTGCACCACATTATGTTGTGCTCTGCCGAGACATGGTCACTGTGCCGTATTGCACTGTGCTGTACTATGTTGTGCTATGCACAACAAGGCTGACACATGGTGCACTCTGTCGTGTTATTGTGCTGTACTATGCCATGCTATGTGTTGTCATGTTGAGACATGCTCTGCTCTATGCTGTTCAATGCTGCCATACTGACTAGCGTTATGCTCCCACCTCACGACTTCGAAGAGCATTTAGATCAGGCATTGTGTGAGATACGTGTTGCCTTACTGATGTAGCGTTGTCCTCGTTGCCCATCTCCACAGGACATTCAATTAGGCCTTCATCGATCAGATTACATGCTGCATCATGCAACAAACCAGCTCCTTCAGGTCGAACTTAACACAATCTCAGTGTCATTTGCTGGCCTTGGGAGCCAAGTTACCAAGTTACACAAGTACGTCTCTCTCTCTCTCTCTCTCTCTCTCTCTCTCTCTCTCTCTCTCTCTCTCTCTCTCTCTCTCTCTCTCTCTCTTCCCTCCCCTGCCCCTCCTTCCCCTCCCGACTTCCCCGTTTGTCCATTTGTCTCTCTTCGTTTGTTGCCGAATTTCCTGTGGCTCTGTTTACCACAGCTGCGTTGCTTGCGTACTCAGTCTGTGTGCAATAGCATGTCTGCAATGCGTGCTGCTATGGCATGTCTTTCTCCTCCTCGCCATCTGAGGACTTGTCTCTCCCTCCTCTGCACTTTGGGAGATTTCCCCGCTCTCTCTCTCTCTCTGCGTATTGGCTTTTTCTGGGGTGTTTTATGCACATTGCAGGTTGTACTATTGTCGTCACCTGAATAGCACACATGGTCATGATATCTGTAGTTGGGGTAACTTCCAGTCTGGATACAGCCATAATGACCACAATTTCTATTCAGGTGGTGTAAGACAGAAGCCATCTCCATACCTGGAGTTTGAGACGTGGTGGCCCCTGGAGCACACAGTGGGTCCATGGGGTGAGGGTGGGTGTCCACTGTGATCTGGAGAGGTTGCCGCTCACAGAGCACAATGATGATGGTTACAGTTGCTTGCTCTGATCAGTTGAATATCTGATCCGTAATCGATTGGACCAAAAAAAAAAAAAAAAAAAAAAAGTGCTTGCTCTCTCTGATCTTTGTTGTCTACTTGATCTTTTGGAGGAGGCTTTCTGTGGCCAGCCGCCTCTACGATCATGTGTGTTAGTCTAATGCCTGGCCGCACTTAGCAAGGTCAGTCGGATCAGGGTGATCTCCTCTTTCCTGTTACTCTCTCCTTGTGCTCGTTGGGGATCTCCACTCTCCTGGTCTTTTTGATGTCACTTGATGTCACAGTCTGTCTTATGTCAGTTATGTCAGTGCCCTGTTTAATAGTGTTTATGCTATTGCATAGCTGCCATTTTGCTTTGCATTTTGTGTTGATGCCAGCCCTTCTGTATATGGGATTGTTGTTTCTCATGGACATGTCTTTGACACACGTGTATGACGGTTCCAATGCCTGTTCATGATGCTCTTTGCAGTACGTGTTAGATCACCTGCATCCACCTGGCCAACACACACCTGGAGTGTAATATTCAATTAGCAATCACTCCCTGCATCGACCGGCTCTGTGTGCGTGTGTTTGCGTTTGTGTGTGTGTGTGTGTGTGTGTGTGTGTGTGTGTGTGTGTG